CATTTGGAAAGCTTCCCAGACGCTATGATATCCAACATGAACTTACAATCTCGAGCAATATGCTCCTTGACCTGTTTATAGTCTTCCTCCAGCTTGTCCATGGCTCCTCCACCCACCAAGTCTTTGAAAGAATTCCCAGGAAAAATCCTGGAGACAAAAGGTGCCACAATTGTGATATGAAAAGCCTTTTCAGCTCTAGCAGTGTCGTCAATAGCCACATAAGCATGTAGACAATGGTAGAGAACCTTCTTGTCACACCTTTCCATCCCCGTTTTAATACACTTCTCCAAGTTTTCTCTCAAGGAGGCATTGGCATTCTGGATCCTCTTTTCTATGGTTTTGATAAATGGCAAGTCCTGTAATGAAATGTTGACAAGAAAGATAAGTGTCACCTTTTCTGAAAAATAGAACTTCACCCAATTCATCTCACTTGCAATTCGCTCCAACAATCAACTCCATGGGTCGTCACCACTGTTGTTGACCGGATCCAGAGCCTTCACTGCCACTCACTAGATTTTCATTGGAAATTCTATTTTTCTTGAGCTCCAGCAAGAGCTTCTTGATCTGCAAGCAAGCTAGGAATCAAAATAAAAGGACTTGCTCCACTCGATCTTACCTTGGAAACCACATGAGAGCTGTCAAGCAGCAACTTGAGAATCTCCTGAAATCATTGACATCCCTGTTGATAAGCTCGACAAGCTCGTTCTTGAGTGCTGCAAGGTGACTGCGCAGCTTGCCATGCAGCGCCTTGAGCGGCATGAAGCTACACAGGCTAGAAATGTGGGTGTTGCAATTAAAACCCTGAAAAATAAAACTTGAGTTTGGCATGCTAAAATAGACAAATTCGTGAGCTTCAAATGGATTTGTTTAAGTCTACTACATAAGTAGTGAGAATGTTTCTAAGCTCTGTAGTAGTGACATGAGGCTCCGGTCACTAGCCTTGTGGTGGATTAATCACTAGCTCAAGCTCAATGTCTATTTCCCCTATGTCACTTGTACTAATAATGAACTTATGCAGAATGCAAACTGTTTTTATAGCAACTGTTAGTTAAGTGATGGTCTCAACTTCAACCAGCTTCCTAAAAATCCTTCAATGACCTTTAAGCAATCTGAAACTTCTGTCACATACCATCCTTGAAGATGACAAGTAAAAATTGAATGTTTCCCTCAATTCAGTTCCATTTGCACTTGGAAACGGTATAACCAACCACGGAAGCTCATAGTATCCTGAGTCTCCAATGATGTACTCCCGAAATTGGTATTGGCTTCTTGAGACTGCTGGTCCATTAAGAATTTCACCTGATTGAGCTCTTCTGTAGAATGAACTCTTCCTCAAAACAGTTATGTCATTGCAACTCCTTAGATCTCCAACTCAAATATTTAGGAACTTTGCTTCATTATCCACGATTGCTTGTATGACAATTGAGTAATCCCTGTCCTTGTTGTAATAATCACTTGCAAAAACATTTCCAGGAAGCTCAACTTTGAAATGCATGTAGTCAATTGCACCACAGCAATTCAGGAAGCCACAAAGACTCTTGAAACCTATTTTTATTGCTGACAAATCTGCTGGCCACATAAGAAATTGTCCTAGATGCTAGAATGTTGTGTCGGAGAACTTCTGACAATACTTCCGGACAGTTGCTTTAGAAACACCGAAATGCTTTGCCAAACTAGCAAAAGAATCACATGAAGTTAATCTCCGTAAAGCAATGGCAACTTGCATACCAACAGGAACATATCTAGATGGAATGTTTATCAAATCTGGAGGTGGTGTTATCTGCATTGACAGAGTAACAAGTTCACAAATTGTCATGAACTACTCAGAAATTCTGAAGAACTCTCTCCACCTTGTTGGATCTTGCATTCCAACCTCATCCACCCAATGACAAAACCAGTGAAGAGACCTTGGTTTGATATAGAAATTTCCCTCTTGAAAAAGGTTTAGTTGCAACCAACTCCCAACTACTACAAAGCACATGTGATGATACACTAGCACTGATTGTTGTTGAAGAGTAGTTTCAAGCTTCTCATCCTCATAATCTTCTTTAAAACACCTTCTAAATCTTCTAACAACCAACTAATCAACTACAACAGTAGTTGTAGCAACCACAAAAACCATAGTTGTTGCCCTATTCATCCCACATGAACCCTAATGATATGGCATTAATCAATGACAAATCAGCATTGACTCACTTGATTTTAGAATATTCTAGAATAATCTGATGTGGATGATAGTTGCATGTACAGTGCCACTGTCACTTTATCACCGTCACCGCACAGAAAATGATGGTGATAGTCATATGTGCAGTGTCTCTAAGGTGCGGGTGATTAGGGGTTTTAGGGGGCCTGAGGGTGGATCAGAGTGATTCGACTCGAGGTCAATACAGAGGTGAGAGGCTTGACCACTTGTGACCTGGTGAGCCTCACCTGGGCTTACTCAATTTTGTCAAGGTGACATTGAATCAAAGTTAACTCTCGGTTTAGGGTAAACGAGTTTGGAAGCAAAACTGACAAATAAAGAGTTTGAATCAAAATCGACTTTCTTTTGGGAATGATGATGTGACTAGCAGAAAGGGGAAAAGAGGCAAGATGCCGAGCTGAGATAAAGTTTGCACCAACTGGCTTTGCATTCACATGCAGGTGAGGGAGAGGGCATTCTTTCTTGGTTGTTGAGTCCTCTGATTTTTGGTTATATTTACTTGATCTGAGTTTGAGACAGAGTCAGTGAGAGAGGCCCGACGCCATGCAGGACGTAACGAAAGCTACTGCTGGCCATATTACATCAGAGCGTGCACCAATGTATTTGGATTTTTGCATCCATCACAAAACAGATGGGGTCTATTTTCTTTTCCGGTTCCGATCCCGACCCGCCCTGTTTAGTCTGCTGGCAAGTCAAGACAGCTTGTCTTTGTTTAATCCTTGATTCCATATTCCCTTACAGCTCTCTGTTGCTGCTGGCTGTTGCTGTTGCTGAACCCTCCCAGGAATTGTGTAAGAGTTTTATAAACCCGGGGGAGATTTAAATGGTTGCTGTTAAATGCCAGGGAGCACTCAGTCTCATGACTCATGATGAACAGGGAGGGTCATTGTAACCAGCACGCTACGTTGACCGCGTCTCGTTCTTCCCTTAGCACGACGCCAAGCCAGAAATGTGGTGCGAGCAAAAAGGAAGATCAATCAAACAAGGCAAGCTTTTCGTGATACCCTTGTTTCACAGTGCGTTGTCTCTCTCAGCGGGTACATCCACTTGACAGGGAAAGAAAGCGAGGAGGAGGAGAAGGTTGGAAAAAAAAAAGAATAAGAAATTTGGTGCTGCCGCTGGCTTTCGAGAATGATGGCAGCGCGATTCCTTTCTTTAAAGTTGATGACACAGCGACGCAACGCAAGGGCTGTTTGTTTGTTTTGAGTTCCAGCGGGAGATCAGGCCCCTGCAAACAGTGGGCAGGGAATCTAATGATTCCCTGACGGGCATCATTTGCCGGTATATTCTCTGGCCAGGAAATATTCTCTCTCCCGCCGTCAGTCAGGTTGAATTGGGCCAAGTTTATGAGCTTGGTTTGGAATATAAAGCGAATGATTGCTTGTGGGCACGCAGTGAATTATGAAACCACCACAGAGCAACAAACTCTCTCTTGCCGATATTTTGTTTGATCCAATGTGTGATGGAGCATGGGGCACGGCATAGAGGGGCCTTTTTTAGGGCTCCACTCCACATTCTTCTTCTCGCCTCTTTCTCGCCCCTTGCGAGCTAAATTCTTGTCAAGGAATTGGCGTGTGAATTTTCCTCCTTGTCCCATAAGATTTTGAGGCAGGTGTTGGCCTGCTGGCCGGCGACGAGCTCTAGTGCCCGCGCAACGCTTCGCCGTCCAGCAGGCCAATACCTCACTCGAGATCTTGTTTCTCTGGAATTGATCGATCGACTGCTTTAAAACACGGGGGAATTAGGGTGCTCTGTTCTGTTTGCGTGATGGTTTTCTAGGGCGCCAGGGGGAGACGATGGGCGCCATCAAGATGAGGAGTGCGTGGTCGTGGTACCAAGGTCAACTGGCGGCCAAGCCCGTGCGCACCCAGATCGTAACGTCGGGCATCTTGTGGGCTGTGGGCGACATGGTGGCGCAGAGCGTGAGCGCCAGCGTGGAGAAGCGGCAGCACAAATCGGTCATCTCGCCTCCGCCGCTTCCCCATGGTTTGCCCAGCGTAAATGCGTCTCTCTCTCTCTCTCTCTCTCTCTCTCTCTCTCACACACACACACACACACACAGCAGGCATTCACAATTATCGCAATCGATCCACAGGTGGAGCCGGGGCCGGGCAAGGACAAGGATGGATTGAATTGGAAGCGGGTGGGAATTTCGAGCATGTTTGGAGTGGGATTCGTCGGTCCAGTGGGTCATTTCTGGTTCGTCTGGAGCTCGGCTATGGCTGTATTGGCTTTCCCATCTTTTTCCTTGTGCAGGTATGAGGGGCTGGAGCATCTCGTCCACAACAAGCTGCGACTGAGGCCCAAGTCGCTGAGATTCCTAGCGACAAAGCTGGCGGCGGACGCGCTCATCTTTGGGCCGATCCATCTTGTGGCGTTTTTCACGTATTCGGGGCTGGCGGCGGGCAAGAGCTGGGAGGTTGTGAGGCAGGAGCTGGGACGAGACTTTATCCCCGCGTTTCTGACCGAAGGAGCGGTGTGGCCCGTGGTCCAGGTGGTGAATTTCCGCTTCGTGCCTGTCCAGCACCAGCTGCTCTACGTGAATTTCTTCTGCCTGCTGGACAGCGCCTTCCTCTCGTGGTTCAAGCACCAGAACGACGCGCCGTGGAAGCGCAAACTCACCGCCTTTGTCACCGGCGCTAGTGATGACCCTTCTTCGTCTAGAGATCACTAGCTAGTGGCCATTCAAGAAAATTCTTTATTCTTTTTCAACGAGAGCCATCAGGATTTCGTTCCCGCTCCCTCTCGCTGTCCATGACACCCCCTGTGGCAATTGCAGCAGCTGACGTGGAAGATAAACGAGATCAATAGAAAGGTGCCCCGACTTGGGCATGGAGCCGGACGAGACCACCTCACTTTCATCAACATGCTTATTGAATTTAACGCCATAGTCTGACTTGGTAGTCGATCACTATCTACAACGCGCTACTCCTGCTGCATTTGTGGATGCTCGGTCACCCGATGGCCTTGAGCAGCCGCTTGATGATCCCTTTGAGAGCAAGCCCGCTGGGAGAGGGAGAGTCTTCGAAGCACGACTTCCCTTGCTCGGCCGCCCGGCTCAGCCGTGGATCCAGAGGAACCCGTCCCAAGAACGGGACCCGCATCTGCCTGGCCATCTCCTGCGCTCCACCGCCACTCACGTAAAACACCTGGGCGCAGGCCAGAGTTGACAGCAGCTCCGGGGCGAGCGTCTCGAGCTTGAGCATCACCTCCCGGGTCACGTCCTCGTCTTCTTGCCCGTCGTCGCTGCTCTTCCTAAACACGAGATCCCTGACCGGGAGCTGCAAGCCGCTCATGTTCTCCACGACCCCGAGCACCGGGATGCCAACCTTTTTGCAAAAGCTTATCTCCTTCCTCACGTCGATTATGGACACCTCCTGTGGGGTGGTGACCACGATCGCCCCCGCAACGTTGGCCACCTTGAGGTACTGGGCGATGGAGATGTGCTCGTCCGACGTCCCGGGGGGCGCGTCCACGACGAGGAAGTCCAAGTCGGCCCAGTACACGTCCTTGAGGAACTGCTTGATGAGGCCGTTCTTCCTGGGGCCTCGCCAGATGACGGCTTCGTCGGGGTCCGGGAGCATGAAGCCGATGGACATGACGCCCAGGTTGTCCTCCACGTACACCGGCGACCAGCCCAGGTTGCTCTGGTGGATCTCCTGGCCCTCCAGTCCCAGCATCTTTGGAATGCTCGGCCCGCATATGTCGATGTCCAGCAGCCCGACTTGCTTGTCCATCCCCGCCAGGGCGAAGGATAGCTGCGCCGCGAACGTGCTCTTGCCCACGCCGCCTTTGCCCGACAGCACCAGGATTACGTGCTTGACGCTGCTCATGCGCTGGCTGATCGCAGCAAGGTCTGGAGCAGCTTGTTGTTAGGCCAGTCCTTGATCTATCTATCTATCAATGGATTACCTGGATCGGGGCCCTTGGGGCCGGTGGCGCACGCCTGCTGGTTGGGGCATCCAGCACAAGCCGCGGATTTTCCAGCCGCCTCCGATTCAGTGCCCGGGCAGTCTGCGAATCGAAAGCGATGAGCAGAGATTGGAGAGCAATCGAAATTACGTACGCTCATTCGCATTGTCGGGAACATCCTCCCCCGCGCCTTCCATCACCGACTCTTTTTCCTTCTTCCCCTAAACCCTAAAAACAGGAAATGGAAAGCCCAGCTTATGAGACTATCCGCCAAATAAATAACTGGCTGCTTGCTCTTCGTTGCCATTACATAGCCGCAGCGCTTCCAACGCCGATGGGCGGTCAAAGCCCAGTGCCATCAACCGCGTCGCTTTGGCTTCCAAATCGGACGATGCCTGAGGAGCCGCCGCTGCTGGAGCCGGAAGCACGCTTGTGCTTGCTGATGGTTTCACTTCGTCTTGATGGAAATGCCTCGGAATGTCTTTCTCTGCCGTTCAAAAGCAAAGATGAAAGAGAAAAAAGTTACACTCGTCGCACCGAGGCAATAGAAAACCAACCTTGAAGAAATGGTACTGCAATCTCACCGCCTCCAACTCTAAGCACGTTATCCTTGAGATCAATGGAGCACTGCATGCGTTGTGAGACTTAACACATTTCCTTTACGAGATTGAACTCTCAACCTGGTGCTTGCGTAGCATGTCAAGGCCAAAGATGAATTCAGGATTAGGCTGGTCCAAAACTGTGAACGAGCAAGGATAGAAATGATCTCCTATCTGCCATCAGAAAGGGATCTCAACTTCGTTTCTTCATCTGGATCTAGAAAGACTTCGAACCTTGAGAGGAGCTACATGAATCCTTCCCACGATTTCCGTTTGACCCACGCCCCTGGCAACACCTACATAGCGCTTGTCCAAGAGTCTCAACAGCCTGTTTGCGAGTTAGAACGCGCCTGTGTAGGCTAGAAATGAATCCATCTCACCCACAGCGTTCTGCACAAGTCCTTGAGATTATGGTCATTTGCGCTCCACTGTCAATAAAAGCCTGCACACATGTCCCAGTGTTCAGTCCCACGGCCAGGAAATTGGTGTAGTTTACTTTCAGGGGAAAGCCATTCACTTCCATGTCCACGTAAAGCATTATCTGCAACAAAGGAGTGTGATTAGACAGACTCCAAACCCAAAAGGTAGACCACTTACGACACTGGCAAATGCTTCGGGGTTGTGCTCCACGGCTGCTTCCCAGTTTTCGTCTATGTTTCTCTAAGGAAAAGAGAAACGAATGAGCTTTCTAGCAGAATTGAAGGTACCTGACGTATACTCTCCTCTATTCTCTTTTGTGCATCTAAATCGAACGGATCGGCATTCATCAGTGCCTGCACTGACAGCGGGAATGAGAGCCTTCAAAGACACCACGGTATCTTACAATCTCCTCTTGCTGACGCCGTTGAAGATCCAGCTTCTGTTGGTGGACCTGCCTGAGAAAGCCCTGGAGCGCCGAGACGTTGTTTGAGTGCACCGCGCCCGCTATGTCTGGGTTTCTCTGCAAGCTGATTTTTTTAGGCCGGGACCACTGGAAGGAGGAGCACACGAACCTCAAACAGGAACTTCATGGCCTGTGGATCCCGCTTCAAGCGGCTCATGAAGGCCGACGGGTTTACAGCGGAGCCATCGGCATTGAGAGCCATCTCATTGCCTCCTCCCGAGCCGCTGGTGCTGCGAAAGTATAAGAACAAAAGTTCCATTCTCTCTCTCTCTCTCTCTGTGATTCAAGCGAAAGAACCTTGTTGGAGGAGGGGCCGCCGCCACAAGCATGAGCAGGTCATTGTCCACGATTCCCGCGGCATTGAGCTTGTGAGAGTTGGGGAGCTCCCTGCCGTGGTGCAATAGCTGCTGCTGGTGGAGCGGAATTTGCGTCTGTAGAGCAGAGCGGGGCATTAGCATCACTCGCTCTTCCTGCGCAGCTGCGCTGGATTGATTTGGATCTAGGTAGAATTACCTCCACTTCCAGTAGCGCCTTGACGTTTTCAACCTGCCAAAGCCCCGCAAATCAGAAGGGCGGAGCTTGAGATAGTGTTACCAGCTCATCGGCATCGACGTCCAGCGACACGAAGCGCTCGTCCGACGTCATGACAGTGATCTTCATTGGATCTCCTAAAGCCCTAACCCTAGATGGCCGGAATATTCGGGTGATATTATTGAGGGAAGGGTGTCCTTAGCACAGGGTGTCCTTGGGCATTATTGTTAAAAGGAGGCCTGCGCATAGCCCGTGTGAGTGTGTGGAGTTTTTGCCTCGTCGAGTGGATGGATAGCCGCCCACAGCCGCCGCCGCCGCCGCCGCTGCCCCCGCCACCCATCGGAGGACCCGTTCTCGGTCTCGGCTGGATGTTCCAATCCCCTCCCCCCGACGATAGGCATAGAGATCGCTGCTGGCCGCACTAGCGCTGCTTGAATCGCACAGGGAAAAGGGGCCAAGATCCAAGCGCCGTCGCCATGGTCGCAGCGGCACAAGCAAGGCGGAGGGTCAGGAGGCGGCGGCGGAGGAGTCAAGCAACAACAGCTGCGGTTGGAGCAGCAACAAGCAAGCATCTGTGGGCATCTGTGGGCTGTGGGCTGGATTTGTAGGAGAGAGTGGGATTCTTGATCCATCATCCGTTCCTCCTTTTTCTTCTTGGGCCCCTCTGGATTGGACCGCATTGGATTGATCAGAGTTCATAGGCGGAGGAGTGTTTGATGTTCCGAGAGATCCCATGGCAGGCGGCAGCAAGCTGTGGGCGAAGTATAGCCCCGGGTCGGTGATTGGGGCGGGCGAGCACAGCAGCGTCTCCATCCTGGTGCGCAAGAGCGATGGCAAGCGATTCGCGTGCAAGTCGACGCGCATTGACGCCAGCAGCAAGAGCTGCTCGGTGACCATGAAGCGCGTCCAGGTGGAGGCCGAGTGCCTGGCCAAGATGAGCAACCACTGCGGCGTCGTCCACTACGAGGAGATGGTGATGGACGCGGACGCCTGGCACCTGATCATGGAGCTGTGCGACTGCAGCCTCGCCGACTGGATCCAGCAGCGAGGCAAGATCCCCGAGGCGGAGGCGGCGCTACTGGTGCGCCACCTCGCCGCCACCCTGGACGACCTCCACTCGGCGGGGATCATGCACCGCGATGTCAAGCCCGACAACATCTTGCTGGTGAGTGCCAAGAACAGCAGCGGCGGCGGCAGTACGACGAGCTGCGCCGCCGCGGCCTCCCTGGTCGTCAAGTACGCCGACTTCGGCATCGCCGAGTACAACTGCGTCTCGTCGGCGGCGGCGGCGCGCAAGCAACTCAAGGACAAAGTTGGCACGCCGCGCTACGTTGCCCCGGAGGTGATGTGCGGGAGCTACTGGCTGCCCGCCGATGTGTGGAGCCTGGGCGTGACGCTCTACCAGATGCTGGCGGGGGCGTCCAAGGTCTTCTCCGACTACTCCACCCTGGGACTCCTCTCCGACCTCAAGGCCTGCGCCGTCACCGCCGACGCCTGCCTCGACTGGGACGGCATCCCCGGTGGCGCCAAGGATCTCATCCAAAAGATGATGGACAAGAATCCATACAAGCGGCCCAAGCCCGCCGACATCCTCGCACACCCTTGGGTCGTAGCAACCGCCGCGCTCGCATTGCCGTCGCGGTAAGCCGCGGTATGCCGCGGTATGCCGCAGGATATCCATTTGCCCTCTCCCGCGGTATCCCGCCCGCCCAGCCAGCTAGCCAAGCCACGTTCGCTCCCCAACTGGGAGCTCGTGGATCCCCTGTTAGGTAGGTAATCAAACGTCAACAACCAACCCATTCTTTTCTTCCTTTCGTCCAAAAAATAACTCTTGGTTGACCGACCATTCCGTCCGCCGCTGTTTGTCTCTGTCGAAAGAGGGATGGATGGATGGATGATTTCCGTCCTCTGTAGCAATAGCACAAGTGGTGCACGTTTAGCAAGCGCGAAAAGCAAGAAAAGCAAGATGGCAAAGACGTGGGAGATAAGAGCTGACTAAGTGGCCTTGTTTCTGTTTCCAGGAGGAGAAGATAGCGATGGATCGTCAGCCCAGCACCAAGTCCTTGAATCTCCGCAGCGCTTTCAACGCCGTATCGAATTTGTCGTCGCTAACAGCGATGACGAAGCGACAATAGTGCTCCAACCCCGTCCACTGGCTGCTGCTCACGCAAACGCCGGTGCTGCACAGCATTGCTTCGCGTATGTTCACGCTGTCCAGCTTAATCTCTTTCGTCGTTTCCCCGCCGATACTTTTGTACGAAAACGTCCTGCCCTCGTAAGCCGATGGACGAGCAACTAGGGAGATCCCTCCCTGAGGCTCCAACACCTCCCATCCACACGCAACCAGCGCCTGAAAACAGAAAACGCTTCAACTACGTAAGAGTCAAGGCGATGAAGACCTTTTACCTCTTTCATCTTCTCAGCCCTCTGCTTGAGGATGAGCTGCTGACTACGAACTCCGTCTGGCAAGTCCCTCGAGGACGATTTGCTGTTCGCCATCGCCAGAAGTTTCTTGATCATGTAGTTGGACGTCATGTGTGGTGTTTTCCTCAAGGGAGCGTCTTTAAACGCATCGGAAAAGATGGAGCTGGTAAAAGTCACAAAGCCGTATTCATGCCCGCCTGACAGCAGTTCCGTAGAGAATCCCCCTAGAAGTGCAACTGCAAACGACTTGTTGCTGCCGCTTGCTCTGCCCACGAAACTCTTCAAGTCCCAGTCCACCCGGCTGCTATCGTACTCGAGCCCGGAAAACGAAGTGTCTATGATAACCCTTGCGCCAGCTTTCTCGCACACCGAGAGGATTGAGATTATCTCCCCGCTGGAATAGAGGACGCCTGTGGGGCTCACTGTCGGACCCGAGATGTAGAGCCACGGCCTTGTAAGATCCCTGATCGTCTCTTCCACTGCATGGGCCGTAAGCTTGAAGCCGTCGCCTTTCTTCGTTTGAATTCTTCTCAGGTCTGCGTCGTAAAACGTGGCAGTCGACAGATACGTCCCGTTGCAGCCCGCAGGAAAGCACAGGGTGCCTTTGTCTTCGACGCAGCCCAGTACCAGATTCGAGAACAAGGATAAACAGCTGTCCCCAAGCACTAGTTCCCCACAATAGTCTGGTCCGAGCAGGCACTTGGCTTTTATAAAATCCAGAATTTCGGGCTTGGGATCGGTTTCTGCTTCGCTCACGTTTTGTCGGCAGAACGCCTCGAAGATTACCGCCTTCACCGCCAGGGGCGTGGGAAGAGCGTTCTCATCAATATCCAGGTGAATGGCATTCGCCGCCAATGACCCCGAGCTACATACTTCAGCCTCGACAATAGCTTTCCTAGTGCAGTCTGCAAAACGGATGAACTTGGAGCTTTCCTCTTGGCGGATTAATCTCTGGAAAACATGTAACATGTAAGGTTTATCCAGCAGTAAGAAAGGAAACTCTCAAACCTGTGAAGTCGTGTGACGCTCTGGCAGATGAAAACTAAGTAACTCGTGCAGGAGACAACCGTAGTAGAACTGGTTCATTACGGCAGTCCGGCCGTCCACAAGCTCCCCAGACAAAGCCAGCGCATGGAGAACATCTTTATTCTCGGATATAAGAAAGGCAACTTCCAAGTCAGCATAGACCTGGAATGGACAAGTGGTGGTGACTGATTTAGCATCCTCCAAGGACAAAGAAGAAAGAAAAGCCTGTACCTTATTTTTCACCAAGCCACTCATGATGGTAGCGTGCGACGGAAGCGCGTGAGCGGCCATGTATTGCAGGACACCATTAGTGCCGGGTGCACTAGACAACTCCACGTAATCCGATATGTCCAGGAAAAGCCGCGCACCGACCTCGGCACACTCGTGCAGCAACTGTTCAAACGCAGTGGAGGTTCTCATTTCAAAGTCCGCGAGGCTGGTGATGACAATCTGAGGCTTCAAGTGCCTGAGTAGCTGAATCACCAGATCTGTGCGATGAGGAGCCTCCACCACGGCGATCTCAGACGAGCTGACTTGATCACTTTGGTGGGGTAACACCGTCAGCCATTTCTTTGGTAACCATCTCGTGAACATCGCGTCAATCAGAGCAAGCTTTGGTTGATAAAGACGGAGAATGTTTTCGATGAGAACAGACCTTGACGGCTGCACAACTACATTCTGCGAACGAGGAAAGACAGAAAATATCAGTAGTGTTCCCAACAGTTGAATCTATCAACTTACAGCGGGGGTCAGAGGTATTCCATGATATATTCGAAAGAAGCCGGCAATTAAGCTGCGAAAATTGGTGCTTCCAACTGGGAGTTCGCAGGGGATATAGGAAAGTCCCTCCAGTGCATTTGCGAGGTATGCAAGGAAAGGAATTTTCTCTTCCGCCACTGATTCTTCTGAGAATGATAAGTCTAATGCGCCTCGTAATTCCTGGATCTTGCTATTCAAAAACTTGAATATGGTCTTTATCTGCGAAGGAAACCTTGTTAGTCACAGGAAAGCCTATTTATCACGAGAACTTAACCTCGTTGGGATGGCGTAGTTCACACTTGTATACAGATAATCCATGAGAGATTTCGCCTCCAGCTCTGGAGTACGCCCATGCTGTGCGCGCACAGATCGGCTCTTCGCTCAACAGCCCCATAAAAAACTCAAAGCGATGGCGGCTGTTCTTCTCTATCTGAACTAGCGCTAAAATGTCTGTATCGGCTGCCTAAGGTAATAAAGTCAGTGAATCAGAAAGGCGGGAATATCGGCTGCTTGCCTGTTTGACTCTTGTTTGCCACAGCTTGGCGATCTTAAAGCCTCTCCTCTCGAACAGGCGCTCGCAGACAGCCTGTCCCGGTCGGCCACCGATATTGAAAATCATAGCACCATTGGGCTTTATCACGCTAATGCCTTCTTCTGCAGCTCTCGCAATGAGTCCCAGGCCAAACTGATCTTCCACAAACCCCTGCATTCACGCGTTGAAGCTTTCAGTACCAGACGCTACGCATCTCGCTCGCTGTAAGCCATACAATAGGCACAGAAGGAAAGAAAACAAAAAACTAGCGCTTACTTGAAGCCCGCAATAGTTGCTGAGGGAATATAAAAAGTCCTCGCTAGCATTCTCCGAGACAAGCTTAAGCATGGCTTCCGGATCGGGATTGAGCACCTGCAATGCAGGCGAAAGAAAGTGAAGGCAGGGAAACACCAAAACAAGCGAAACCTTACCTGAGGTATGCAGCCGACAACGCGGTCCAGCATGATATTTCGGTCCCGGCAATAACCCAGCAAATCCGAAACGTAAAACTCGACACGATCCAGTAGCGATTTCCCCTCGCGGTCGATCACCAGTGATCCGTCCTCGCCGCTAAGCGCGTTTAAGTAGAGGTTGATCCAGGCAACTTTGATCGCTCGAGGATTGATGTCCAAGCCATACACCTAAGAACGACAAAGGCAAAGAATAATTAAGCTCGCGTGGAGTCCACATAGGAAATATGATGAGCTACCTTTCTCGGTAGCAATTTCTCGGCGATGGCAATGGACACCCAGCCATTGCCGCAGCCCAGCTCTGCCACATCGCGGTCATGGAATCCACTGTCCGGGAGGCGATTGATCCCTTCGTAGAAAGTAAACGACCAGTCCTCGGGAATGAAGATGCTCGGCAGCTCAAGAAGCGTGAGCTTTTGACGGTTCTTGCGAAGACCTGGGGGCGATTGATCAAACAGAGAGCAATTGATCCAATCCGGGCCGCTATACCTTGAGAATCCGAGAGAACGAGCTGATGGATCCGGAAATGGAATGTCGCGAAGCAATCCACAGTGGAAAGCTCGGCGTCAACGTAGCGCTCCACGGACGCCAGCAGCTTGCGCGCCCTGGATCGCGTGGTCTCATTCTGGAGCTCATCCAGCACGCCCTTGAAGACGCCGTAGGTCTTGTCGCCGGATTCCCGGCACTCATCCAGGAAGCGCTTCACCTCCGCCATCTCTCCAGCAGCGGCAGCAGCCATGGCTGGATGGATGAATCGATATCCTCGCCTCTCTCTCTCTCTCTCTCTCTCACACACTCACACACACACACACTTAATGCTTTAGGGCTTTGCTTTTTCTAACGAGAGTTGAGCCCCGGGCGAATAATGCGGGTCCAAAAGGTATGTCCAGCGTGGCAGAATCCATGACACAAGCCCTAATCAGGGCAAGGGGAAAGGATGATGATAGCATCCCGATCGATCGTGAGGTGGTGGATCCCAGGTTCATTTGACAAGGCGGATCCCCGGTAGCACCAGCGCGTAGCACCTCACGGTAGTACCTGGTGGGCGCGCCCACCTGCGGCGATGTGATGAAGCTCCGAATCGGGCAAGAACACGTACGTGGATCGGCAATCGTCTGTGGGTGAGTGACTGCCGATGGATTGATCATCAGTTTGCAGCCACCATGGCTAATTGACTTTAGGACTGCCGACAGGGTTTGGGTTTTCAGGGGAAACGGTACGCGGGGGAGAATGCAGCTCCGCCGCCAAACACGATCCAGCGGAGATGCATCCTCTGCCGCGGAACGCTGCTCCGCCCCCAGGGTTTGCCCGCGGCCGCCAGTGGAGATGCACCCTGGCGGCGCCACGGAATGCCAGAGTTTGTGGAATGTGCCTCTTCCTCCTCCGCTGAGGGATACGTTCCGGCCCACCAAAGGCGTCCCCAACCCCCGACAGCCACAAAGGGACGTCAGCTAGTGTTCCCCAGCCAGCAACAGCACCTCCTCGCTTCCTCGCCTTCCCGAAGCTTGTGCACGACATGATTACCATCTCTATACTGAAGATTGATCCATCGCAGGAGGTGCCAAGAAGACATCCTCTATCACCACTTCGCTTCTGGATGCTGCTCTAGCACTCACTCTCCCTGTGCAGCGTCGGATTTTATGGAGCACCCTGGTCTCTCGCAGAGAGGCTGCGGGAATGCTGCCTGGCAGATGATGGCCAGCGTTATCGTCCGGGGGACTGGCGGCGGCATTGCATTACAGAGCTCATGCGCCGTCAACGACATCATTGCCGGACGGGTTGGTTTCAATTTCCAGCCTTTGAGCGCGGGAAGGTTGAGGCCTTTTCCTTTCGTCTTGTTTTACCTTTTCGTTCACCAGCGACACTGGAGAGCCCGGAGCACAAGACCTTCACATCCGTGGCGCCAGCAACGGAAGGTAGTGCCTCTAGATGAGCTTCGATAACGAGCCAGGTCGCGGATTGATCCTGGTATTTGATACTGATGAGCGCGCCTGGGGTCAGATGTATTTACTTCCCCGTTGCCAGACCTTGTAGATGTCGAAGGCCCTGTCAAGGGCCCTGCACTACCCGCAGTCGGCGACGGGTTTCCGGGGTGCTCGTTCACCGCAATCAAATTTCACTCAAATCTTCACTCGAGCGCGCAGGGCCTCCAACCCAAAGTGACCATCTTAGTGGGTAGATTTCATGGGCTCGAGTTTGTAGAGGGTATGCTTTTCAGAGACGAGCACTTTGCGTATCCGTACCACGATATGGACAAGCAGCAGCTCGAGGCACTGCGCGGCTGCCGGGGCAAGCCTTTCTTTGGCCTGGAGCGTAACTGGTGGACGGAAAACATGCTCTGGTCGATGGGCGACTTCTGGTGTGCATGCGTTACCTCTTGCAGAGCCTGGAGATGGTGGACAGAATTATTGCTGGGGACGTCCCTTTGAATGGCCACCCAGCTGTTCCCAGCTCCGTTTTTTGCACTTCACCCCTGACATGGACTGATTGCAGGTGCAAGATTCTACCAGAGGTTTAAGAACAAGACAGATTTGAATTGCACGCAGGCTAACACAAGTTTGCCTTTGATGCATGTAGTAGAGGGTGTATGACAATCAGGACTTCCCTGCCGGCTCAGAGCAATGCAGGATGATTTTCGAGAAGCTCCGAGGTCGGCCTGGTTTTGCACCTAACGACAACGATCGGGAGGAGCTGACACGGGAGTGGGCTGCTGAGACCATCTCTGTTCTGGCTAAGGATTCTTGGCTCCCGGACCAGATCCTTGCTCACAAGCTCGTCTTCCTGGGACAAACTGCGCCATGTTGTGGCTGGGATGTCTTCAGTAGTTTGGTGACGAGATTGGGCACTGCAGCAGTATTTGAAAGAGGCGACTTCGAAAGATGGCAGGCGGATGTTCCTGGTGGCAGAAACTGTTGCAGGCCTGCATTGGGAAACCACGCCCCCGAAGCCGGCACACCGAGTTCGTGGTTGCGGACCCTAGAGGATGGGTTCAGCATGTCGCTATGGCAATTATTGGCAACCCCAGATCATGAACGATGTGCTTGCTTGCAAGGTTCCGCTGGATGAGTGATGCCTCACGGAGATCCCTACCCTGTTCTGCAAGGACTAGGGACGCTTGGAGAGGCACGTTTTTGCGGAGAGTGGCTAAAGTCGTATGGGAGGCCATGGTATAGTCGTGATCTGGTTGCATGTCCCACCTAAGCCTAGACTGGGAGCATGGAATTAGATTGCTCCTTTCAATTTGAAATTTTGGGATATGTTTTGAAAATAAATGACTTTCCAAACTTAACCATATGGAATGGTTATGATAATAACGATTTAAATCCCAACTATGATCGATTTTCTTTCAATTTAAAAAAAGTAAAGATTTAATCAGGCTTTTAACCTACTTCTTTTTTCAGTATATATTGTGATGAATGGAGTTATAGAATTCAACAGTTATGATTGTTCATAAAGCTACCAAAAAGCTATCACACTCAAAAATATACTAATGGAGGCAAGAAACTTATTGTTAGCAATAGACTTGGAGGCATCACAATAAACTTCATAAATGTTTGCATTGCTCAATATTGTAGTAAAACAAGAAACACAGAAAATGATATTTAATTGTTGACACATTTTAGCACTAATGTATTTTTTTTATAATCCAGGAAGAAAATAGTGGACAAAGGAGATACATATAACATAACAATATCACTATAACAATATGTGATATTGCCTTGACATCCACAAATAAAACAATCTATTAGAAAAACAAAATATTATATAGCACTTATATTTATAGGAGAGGCAATGTTTAAAAGCATTGTCCAATATTATCTAAGCAAAAAAGGAATACAAATATGTTACATGCTAAATGTTATTTTAATTTTGTCTTTGAGAAGAGCACCTAAGGGAAATAAACTATGTCCATACGATGGCATAATGAATCTAAGGAAAGTAGTTTCTATAAAAGATCTATGGGAGGGTCACTAAATTGGGATATAAATAAAGCCCATAGCAAAAAATGATAAAAAGACATATTAGGGGTAAACACCTTTTGGACTTGGCAAGCAAAGCCTTACTATAAAACCGAAAAGATACCTCGAAAATGGAGCTAGCAATCCTATATTGTTGGGTGCAACTATCAAAGGATAGGAGCAAAAAACTAATGGCTAACAAAAAAGCCATGGGAACCATAAAAAAGAATCTAAAAGGCACAGTTAGGACAAGAACAACATCGGTGATCTAACACCACCTACATCACAGTCCTGTCTCTCAAAGACTAAGCCATCTGTCCATGAATGATCATTCCAGATACATTCCTTAGCATCCTTAGGATGCCCACGAATATGGGGAACAACCTTCCCCAATATCCCTTTTCTAGTCCCTACCAAGTCCCTTTCTGTCCATAGTCATGTTCACCAACATTACCACTAGGTCAAAGCTCACAAACCTGACCACTAAATCCTATTGTCCTCTAGGATTTCCTCACCATATGACCGTATCTTTAGTCACTACACCAGAGGACTGCTCTTCTTCATTTCCATAGTTCAAGACTTTGGGATAACATTTTGCAACACCATGGTCGTACGTGAATTTCATGGGTACTCTCCCCATTTTCTTTCTGCCTTTGGGTGCTTTAGCCATGGGGCTAGAGCACGGTTCCATTGAGCCACACTAAGTATCTAAGTAGGTAGTGCCACCCACACTTGGATTGGGAGCATTGACCATGGCTTTCGTATAATAGCCTGTATTAGTATTCGGACTCAAACTCAAACTTAGACTTAGACTTGGACTCGGTCTCAGTCTCGGTCTCGGTTCCATTTCAGACTCCATCTTAGGTCCATCTCAGACTCATCTCGGGTCCATCTTGGACTCCATCTTGGGTCCATCACAAACTTCATCTCGGACTCCATCTTGGGTCCATCATAAACTTCATCTTGGACTCCATCTTGGGTTCATCACAAACTTCATCTCGGACTCCATCTTGGGTCCATCTCGAACTCTATCTCAGGTCCATCTCGGACTCTATCTGGGGTCCATCTTGAACTCCATCTCGAACTCCATCTTGGGTCCATCTTGGGCTCCATCTCGGACTCCATCTCAAGTCCATCTTAGACTCCATCTCAGACTCCATCTCGGGTCCATCTCGAGTCCATCTCGGACTCCATCTTGGACTCCATCTCGGGTCCATCTCAGATCCATCTTGGACTCCATCTCGGGTCTATCTCGGACTCCATCTCGGGTCCATCTCGGACTCCATTTCAAGTCCATTTCAGACTCCATCTCAGACTCCTCCACCTATCATGTGTTAGTCCTCTTGTGTCTCTTTTTTAAAGACTCAATTATTGCTCATTTCGTGCTCATTTCGTGAGCACTTTGTTGGGAGTTCCACTCCCGCTCTCAACTTTTTGAGTCAAAGCTTGTAGTCCAAATGTGTTACACTCATTTGGTTTCCTCTCAGCCACTACCACGTGGCACCCTTTCAGCTCCACTTTGGGACCTAGGGATTTTGTGTCTCATAATGATAAAATGCTAATGCCATATGTGGATGATATATTAGACAAGTTTGATGAAACATGAGTGTTTACACAAATTGATTTAAGGAGTGGATATCATCATATTGTAATGGATGATACACCTATCTCCGAGATAGCATTCAACACAAGCTTCAAACATTTTGAGTTTACAGTTATGCTTTTTGGTTTGACAAATGCACTAGCCACATTTACTTGGTTGATGACGGAGGTATTTGAGCATTATTTTCATGAGTTTGTGGACATTTTCTTGGACAATTTTTTTGTTTTCAGCAAAAATATGGAGGAGTATAAGGTGCATTTAGGCAAGGTTCTTTTGTTACTCTGTGACAACAAATTTTATATGAAAAAGAGCAAATGTGAGTTTGCAGAGTTCAAGGTGGAATATCTAGGCCATATTGTGACATTTTAGGTTGTCAAAATGGATCCAAAGAAGGTGGCTATGGTGGAAAACTACCCTACATCAACTATTGTGGCCGAGTTATATAGTTTCCTTGGTATGGCTAATTACTACTAACATTTCCAATATAAGTTTGCGGAGGTGGCTATTCCTTTGACATGGTTGTTATGCAAGAAGGTACCATTCAAGTGGAAGAAGTCACAAGAGAAGAGTTTTATGGCATTGAAATAATTGTTGAGTGAGGCTCTAGTGCTTCATATTACTGATCCATGAAAGCCTTACGAAGTGACATGTTATGTGAATACTTATACACTGGGAGGAGTTCTCATGCAAAATGGACAGTCTATTGTATATAAGAGTCAAACTTTGAATTTTGTGGAGCAACGCTATTCCACTTATGAGCAAGAGTTGCTCTCTATTATTCATGCTTTGCGAACATGGTGGCATTATCTTTAGGGTGCAGTGTTCATGGTGTTAACAGATTACAAACCACTTGTGTATCTATTCACACAAAAGGATTTAAACACTAGGCAAGCTCATTGGATGGTCAAACTTATAGAGTTTGGGGAGTTGCAAAACCATACTTAACAGATAATGCTAAGATTTGGTGAAGAATAACAGAAGCTAACGAAGGACTGGTGGCCACTTGGGACGTGATGAAAGCAAGGATTTGTGCAACTCCAAATGCTACTCTACACCTAAAAAATGAGCTCAATAGGCTAAAGCAAGAACCATTCAAGAGTATGTGAATGAGGTTATGATCAAGAGGATCCTTGTTATGGATATGAGTGATATGAATGCATTCCATGCCTTTATATCAAGGTTATAGACTTGGGCTTGAGGCGAGGTGATGCATTGAAACTCAACCAACTATAGGGAAGCATTAGGTGCGGGAGACCAAACTGATTGGGTAAGTCATTTGGGACTTGCAGAAATGTGTTATAACAACTCACCACACTCGAGTATCGGGGTGAGTCCATGGGAAGTCATCAATGGGTGAGCTATTGAAGGTCCTGTAGAACTCGGCATGGCCGAGTATCATGGAGAGTTACATGTACTTGAAGCATTCACGGCAGAAAGGCTCAACATTTGGAATCTAGTGAGGGATTCCTTGGAATGGGCTCAATAAATGCAAACCAAGTATGCGAATCAAAAGCGCTGGGAAGTAGAGTTCCAACCTGGGGAGAAGGTGTGGCTGAACACCAAGAACCT